GATGAAGACAGGGGCTCAGCTTTCGCAGGGGGCGCCGGATCTCGTCGGGGGGGTTATTTTCGCGTTGAAATGATGATGTTGCCCCCGGTCTCCCAGCCCAGCCCCTGCTGTCTGGGGGGCGTTGCTTCGTCCGCGCATCGAGAAGAATCCGCCCCGCCCCCGGCCGCCGCCCCCGACCCCGGGGCCCTGGAGCTGCGCGCCCAGGCAGCGAGTGGCAGCGCGTGCAAATTTGCCCGAGTCCTGCGCGGCCCGCGCGACGCTGGCGCAGGAGCGCGAGCTCGCCGCTCAGGGGGTCGTGGACAGGGCTCCTGGGTGGCGCTTTAGGGGCACGGCTGGAGCTCTGCGCGGGCCATGGGGCGCCTCGGCCTTGGAGGGGGATTTTGGGGGGGCGGTCCTTCTGGCCCGCGGATGGACGGGGCCCCATTCCCCTCCTAGAGCCATGGCCATCTCGGGCCCTCGGTCTCTCGCGGCGGTGGCGCGCCCAGCAGGTGGCCATCGGTTTTTTATCTGACGCGGCTGACCTCCGCGACTGCGCCCAGGGGCCGCATGGACTTGCAATTCGAGCCGCGGTCGAGATTCGACGTCGCAGGAACGCAGGAATGCCCCATCATCGCGGAGTGGGTTCAATGTGGAACCATCGGAGCTGCGCAAGTCCGAGTTTCCTCCGCGTTTGAAAACGCAAGTGACTCCCGCGGACGAGGCCGCGTGCAACCCTGCTCGTTCGGCGCCAGCGAAGGTGGATTTATTCCGCGCCCTCTTCGGGCCTTGCCCCCCCGATGAAATTTGGGCCATCGAGGCAGACGGTGAGATATGCGAAAGCATGGGTTCATTTCTACCTTTTGTCGGCGCCCGCGGGAAGGCGGCCCGAGCCGGGCGGGCGGCCGCGCTGGGCCAAGACGGAGGCGCCCCGCCGCGCGCGCGGCCCGTTGGCCGCGCTCCGCCGTGCGAGCTCCCGACGGCGCCGGGCAGGCCAGGCTGCGCAGCGCCCGGCGCTTCCCCTTCCGCCGCAGGGAGGAAGGAGCGCCCGCGCCGCGACGGGCGCGGGAATTGCGGCGCCCCAGCCCCCCCCCCCAGGAGAGGGGGGACTTCCCAAGGCCCCCCCTCCTAGGGCCGGCGTTTTGCATGTCGATGGGGGGGGGGGGCGCTGGCGGAGGGGGCCCGGCGCCCCCCCCGCCTATCCGACGCGCGGCGCAAGCCAGGACCCCCCTGCCAGAGGCGGGGCCGCTTGCGAAGCTGCCCCCCGCGCCCTCTCATTTGGATTTCGCAGCTGGACAGCCCCGGCCCCCCCTGCGCTAACCAGGGCCGGGTCGTGGAAGCTGTCGAGAGCGACGGCCGCGGGGCGAGGCGGCCCCCATATGTGACATTACCCGCGCACGTGCGATAACGCGTGAGCTGCTCAGGCTGAAACGTACAAGTTGGACGAGGTTTCAGGCGCGCTTCCATGGCAGGTTCGGTATTTGGTGGTTGCTTACCAAACCGTCGTCGGGTTTTTGCCCCAGCGTTTCCGTTGCGCCCCGGGCCTCGCCGCTCGCGGGCCAAGGCGAGGAGGCTCGGCGTTCGGGTGGGTGGCGAATCATGACGGGCCCCACTGAGCCGCCGGCAACGGAGCCCACGCCGTCGCGCGGCGATTTGGGCGCGCGCTCCGAGGCGGGAGTGCTCAGAGGGGAGGCGGCTGCCAGCGCGTCGTGGAATGTGCGCAGGTATTGTGAGCATATTCCGCTTGCCCGCTTGTGCTGTCGTTGCCAACGGCACTCATTCCACCCCGTCGTGGAGGCCGCGTGCCTTGCGGCCAATCGGTCAGCGCGTTTCGCGATGCCGACCAGCGCTGTCGCCCACCCCCAATTGGGACTGGCGCGGCGCAGTTCCGCGACCACGATGATAAAAGGCATTTGGGCTACATGATCTCGATTCTGTCAGGTTGCCGCCCGGAGTTCTCCTGGGCGTCTACATCGACGATGCTGGGTTGGAAAATGTGGGGGCCCAGGGCCAAGTTGCAAGCGCTTGCATCGGGGGCCACCGACATGATGGCGGGCGAAATTGCGATGGGCAAAGTTGCCTTGGTCTCGCCGTCGAAGGCGGTGGCCTCGGGATTGCAAGAACACTTTGAGCCCCTGGCGGGCCAAAACAAGCAGTCCGCAGTGAACTTGGGCGTCGGCGACGCAGAGGGGGGCAAATCCAGGAGGGTGCGCGGCAGGAGCCGCAAGGCGAAGTCTAGAGCTGCCAAAACGTCTCGTCGCACGGCGCGCTGGAACCAACGCGGGAGGCAGGGCGACGAAGGTTTCCGTTGCGGGTGTTCCTTTCGCTTTGCCATGCGTTTGCTAGCTCCGTGGAATGTCGGGGGGGGAGTTCTCCAGGGCGAAGCGAATGACGGGGTCCACGTTGAAGCCCTCTGCGGGCGCGCGTTCATTGCGTTCCCTGCTTGCGCTGGAGTGCGACCCGACCTGGTTTGGCACGTTCGCCCCGGTTTTGCGTTATGTCCATGAGGTGTGGTTCGGACACATTGTTGCCATTCCGCATGCGTTCTTTTCCGGGTTTGCTTGAGGGTGCTTGGGCATCGAAGGCCTCTTGGGTGCGATGCGTTCGTCTCCGGCGAGGCGAAGCTGGGTGGCGGAAGGCCCTTTTCGGAGTGACGAGCAACGTCGGGGCCCCCCCGCTCCGTCGCCCACAGGCTTCTCCTCCTCCTCCTCCTCCTCCTCCTCCTCCTCCTCCTCCTCCTCCTCCTCTGCTCCGCCTCTTCCTCCTCCTCCTCCTCCTCCTCCTCCTCCTCCTCCTCCTTCGCTCCCTCGCCCTCACCCCGCCATGCCCTTTTTTCAGGAGATCCCCCAGGCCCCTGCGCGCAGGCTGCTCGAGAAGGAAGTGCGGGGTGCCAGTCTCGTTTCGGGTTCCGCGCTTGCTTTGATTGCACATTGGCGGAGGCTTCGAGTCCCAGAAAATCCTCCGCCCTGGGCGGGCAGCATTCGCACAGCGGCTTGGCAAGGGGCGCGGCCGTCGTCACGAGCGGGGCTGGGGAGGGGGGGGGGCAGGTCGACGGCATCTGCCCTTTACGCGTGCCCCCACGAGACGCGATGCACCATCGCCCGTGGACATGCCGCCCTTGCGCGGAGGAGAGGGAAGACCTGGCTCCTCGGAAGGTCGCGGAGCATGCTAAAGGAGATCGCCTCTTGTCTCCTCACCCTGGCGATTGGTGGCCCAGAGCCCTCGGACACAATATGCCTTTGCAGCACAAGTAACTACTCCAAGTGTCTGATGTTGATGAGGGCTCCACTCAGCAGGACATGTGATGGCTTCGCCGTGCACTCGGACACGGACTCTGAGCGTGTCGTGGCGGGGGGGCGTCTTCTTGGATGGCTCGCGTGGGAAAACCCCCTATCATGGAGCTCTGCAGAGCGGGCTGGGGCGCGGCTAAGTTGACGCCCGATGGCCGACTCTGCGCGTTGTTATACGGCCCTAAGTCGCCAAGCTATCCTCAGATATAGTACGGCCGCGCGCTTCTCATCCCATATTGCCAGTTTTAAGTATGAGTGTGATAATGTAGTGAAGTTATGGAAGATTGCGAGGCCTGAGAGATACTCTTATAGACGTATAGTACGGCTTGGTTTTCTCCAGGCTGAGGACTTATCTGACGGAATGGTCTCGGGGGTGGGCAAAGTGGTTGCCCATTCGGAGCTTGGCGAGTCGTTGGGCGCAGAAGAGATGCACCGCAAAGTACATAGGGAGTGTTTGGCTAGACAGAGCGGCCAAGCTTGGAGCCGACCTTGCGCCCAGATGCTTCGGAGGAAGAGTGCAGCCGCATTGGCCATCTTGCGGCGGTGTCGAGGGATGTCGGCAAGCCCTCTGGCCACGCACGCGCCTGAAAGAAGTCCAGCTTGCGAAGAAAATTCGAGAGGAGGTAGGCCCACCACCAGATCCGCATTAGAGGACCCTGGTGGGAAGGCCGCCCCGTATTTTTTGGCAATGCCCGACTTGTTTGCGAAGTTCCCATTCGTCCGCAGTGCCGCCGAGCGGGAGATGCACCAGGCACCTCAGAGTGTCCCCTTGCTGTGCGGGATCTGGGACACAGCTGCGTTGTGCTGGATGTTGGTGGCGAGTCGTTTGCGTGCATCTGTCAGTAAAGCGGGGCTTTCACGTATGGTGAGCGTCTCGCAAAGTTGGGTGCGCAGTGTCAGCCGCTTGCTCGCCCACACGAGCGTGAGAACCGGAGAAGGCTTGGCAAAGTTCTCCACTTGAAGAGGGACGGGGGCTCAACTGACCCTCTCTCATTCTGCCCCATGTGTCTTGGGGTCTTTGACCGTAGATGTCAAAACAATATCCTCCCTTCTCCGTTGAGGACGCTAGTTATCAACTTCCTGAACGATCTCCCACATGCCGGCATCAATTTTACAGTGTCGAGGTGGATCATAAGCAGAATTCTCCCCCCACCGTTCACCTCACGGAAGCGCAAGCTGCCCTTCCCCACCTACCAAACGGGAAGGACCCCGAGTGTCCCTTCAGGCGCCCCGCCTTGACGAAGTGGTTCTCGTAGAATTTGAACGCCGTCCCGGCGTCGTCCTGGCGATCCCGCCCCTCCTCTTGGACGCGGCTAGGACGAGGATAAGTCCGTCCCAGAGCGTTCCGGAACGCTCTCAGAACGTTCGGGGACGCTCTGAGAAGGCCGCGGCGCCCGAGACATCCTCCAGAGCCGCCGGATTTCAATGCTTCTCGATTCTAGGCCTCCCAGATGTGGTCCGAGTAAATGGGGTCGGAGAATCGCGCCGCATCACCGATGTATTGACGCTGCGGCTCGATATGGAGTCCGTGTTTCCCCACGCCGACGTCGCCGACGCATCGCCGACGTCGCCGATGCATCGCCATCGCCGATGCATCGGTGATGCATTGGCGATGCGGCGCGATCCTTCGACCCCATCTACTCGGACCTCATTTAGGAGGCCTGTATTGATGTATTCTCGCCTGATGTGATCCTCGTCCTGGCGTCGTCTTACCCCCTCTCCGGGCCCCCGCAGGCGCTGGAGGAGCTGCAGCGCACCACGGAGCCCGCCGCACTTGTTTTTATCACTCCTGTTTTTGTTGTATCACACTTGTTTTGAGCTTGTTTTATCACTTTTGTTTTCATCACACTTGTTTTGTGCCGGCGGCGAGCTGCTCCCTGGTCGCACCTGCAGGCCGCGATGCTGGGACTCCCAGGGAGGAGGAGACCCAGACCCCTTCGCGCTGTGGAAAAAACGCTACGGAAGGTTTTTCACTATTTTCGGCCTCCGGGGGCCCTCACCACCGGGCCTCGGGACCGTCAAAAAACGACTCAGGATGAAAAGCCGGTCCCATGGGGAATGGGTCCGGACCTCTGGGGGTCGCGTCGTGAAAAAGTCCTGACGGCGGGGGTCTGGGGAGAGGGCGTTATTGGGGTATGGCCCGAGGATGCACGAGTGCGGCGGCGGACATCGCGAAAGCGAAATCAGCGCCCGCGGGCACCACCCCTGAGCGGCGTGCACCTAGCGGGCAGGCACCTCTACAGGCGGCCCGGCTTAGTAGGTCGACCCTGCCAGTTCAAGGATAATTACCCTCGTGTCCTGTGTCTTGCGACCCATGCCTCCTGCATTCCTGTGGCAATGTGGCCTTCGGAAGGGTTTTGTGTCCTCTCGCGTGTCCTGTCTATTCGAGTCCGACTGTGCGCCCAAAATGGGCGACTCCGCCTGCGACCGCCTCACCAGTCGGGAGGAGGAGAGAGGGAGAGGGGGCAAGGAGGAGAGGACAGGGAGGAGAGAGAGGGAGAGGGAGAGGGGACAGGGAGGAGAGAGGGAGAGGGAGAGGAGGAGAGAGGAGAGGAGGAGAGGAGAAGAGAGGGAGAGGGGACAGGGAGGGAGAGGAGGAGAGAGGGAGAAGGGGGCAGGGAGGGGAAGGGAGGGAGCAGGAGAGGGCGAGGGAGCGGCAGTGGCGGGGAGGAGAGGGAGGAGCCCAGCACGAAGAGGGCTGCACGAGCAGGGGGAGAGCAGGTGAGCGGAACAGGAGGAGTCACCAGCCTCGAACTTACCCCTATCCCTAAGATTGACACGCCAAAAGACGATAACGATCTTAGGGATTCGCCCTCAAAAAATAAGGGAATCCCTAAGAGTGGCATCGTGATGAGGAGATGCCCATCATAGGGATAGGGATATGTTCCAGGCTGGTAAAGGAGGAGGTGCGCTGGCTTTCCCGTCGTGTCTTTCCTCTGCTCGTCAGTTCGAGACTTCGGAGGCCCAACTGGGAATCCCCAAGGATCGGGACGATCGAGACGGGTACGGAGAGAATGGGTACACGGACCGACAGCAGTTCTTCTTCATCTTGAGCAGGACACGTTGTTGGTGTCGCCGCGGCTTGTGTCCATTTGAGACAGGTGGCCGCCTTCCCAACAGCGGCCGCTGTCGGTTTGGGACAACATTTGCTGTTGGGCAGTGTTCCCGTAACCATTTCGGGCGTCCAAAAATGAAGATGGCGGGATCCCTTTGAAAGAGAAGCACATCAAAGAAGCCCATGCAGCCCACAACATCACGGACAGTACGACCAACCCTTCCCCCCTAATATCGACAAGAGGAAGACACCCAGCCTGCGCTACACCGTGACTTCCTTCTCTGTTTCACCGTCCGCTTGAGCAGATTCTATACATCCGCCTTTGGTATTCCCCAAACTCCGACACCGACTCCAAGGACCTCTCTTCCCTCCTTCTCCATTAGCTGTTTACGCATCTCGCATTGCACGTTGTTCAGACACCAGGTTCCTGAGGCCACTGCCTCGCCCACCTGGTCTTCGCTGGGCCCAGACGGCGTCCGCAGCGGTGGTCGCATCGCATCGCCTTTGCGTCCGACGCGACCCTCTTGCATGATCCCTCGACGTCCTGCGCCGCCTCCGCGCCGTTTGCCAGGACTCTCTGCGCTCGCACCTCACCGAGTCCGTGGATGGAGTCAAGCGGGTCAGCGGCCCGCTGCCTGCCCACACTGGGAGGAGAGGGGAGGCCTCACCGACCCCTGGCGCACTGATCGCTTTCGTGACGATCCCCTCGCCTCGCTCCGAGATGCGGGCATGCGACCAGTTGGGAGCCTCGAGGGTGAAGGGATCGAGGGGATCGTCACGGAAGGGTTGGTTAGGCCGCGCTTGAGAGGAACGGAAGGGGGTCGTCATGGAAGGGTTTGCTAGGCCGCGCTTGAGAGGGAAGGGGATTTACATGAACATTGTAAATTCGCACAGTGCGGCGCAACATACACCCTTGTGCACCCCATTTCGATACTGAGATCGCGCCAATGGATGGGGGATCGAGTGGACAGAACTATTCGAACCCCAGAACCACTCCTTACACCGAGACAGACACCGATTTTGGGGAGCTGGCCAGGTGGTGATCAGCATTACAATCTGAAGTGCAAGGGCTCGAACATGTAGCCCATCCAACAAGAGGAGGAGGAGGCGGAGGAGGAGGAGGAGGAGGAGGAGGACCTCCTCCCAGCGCCACTCGTTCTGCTTTGGGGCTGCCCGGCGGCTCGGCGCCCGCGCCGCCCGTGCCTTTGGGCCCGCTCCTGGGGGCTGCGGACCCCGACCTTCCAGGAGGGCTGAAAACTAGTACGGGGACCTCGATATCTTGATCCCCGTCGAGGCTTCAGGCAGCCCAGATGGGTCTATAGGTCTGGAGGGCTCTTTTTTAAGCATTCCGGAAAGTCTCAGGGGAGGTGCCTCCAGAGGATCCAGATCGAGGACGCCGGCCGACCGCTCCGCCGCTGCCCGAGGCCCGGGGCCGCTTATGCCGCGGCCCCGCGGCCGGCGGGGGGCGGAGCGCGCGCATACGCCGGCGCCGGGCGCCGAAGGGCCGGCCCGCGTGGTGCGCCCCCCGGCGGGGCTGCGCGCCCCGAGCCGGGGCCCAGCGAGGAGCCGTGGGGCGGTCGGTGGGGGCCCCCCCGGGAGCCTGCGGGCCCCCCCGGTCGGTCGGGCCCCCCCCCGGGAGCCTGCGGACCACCTCCCCGGACCCAGAGCCCTTCGCCTTGGCATCGCTCGGACGTGTGCATTTTTCCTCGGCGAGAGTCATCGAGGACCATCCTGGACCATCGAGCCAAAAAAACACGCACGACACCGAAGAATGCACGGGGAATGGACGTCCGAGCGACGGCAAGTCGCGTGTCTCGAGAAAGTCGAGACGGAGGTTTATCATAGTTTTTGGCCTTTCGGGGCCCTCGCCGGGCCTCGGGATCGTCAAAAAACGACTCGGGATGAAAAACCGGTCCCAGGGAAGTGGTCGGCAGGTCTGGCTGGTACGCAGAACGTGTTTCGGGGGGGGGGACCATAGCCACCGAAAACGATCAAATCGGAGAAAAACTGATCAGGCCAGGGGGGTCACTGACAACGGCCAGGGGGGGTCACTGACAACGGCCAGGGGGCCCACTGACAACGGCCAGGGGGCCCACTGACAACGGCCAGGGGGGTCACTGACAACGGCCAGGGGGGGTCACTGACAACGGCCAGGGGGCCCACTGACAACGGCCAGGGGGCCCACTGACAACGACAGGGGGGGTCACTGACAACGGCCAGGGGGGGTCACTGACAACGGCCAGGGGGGTCACTGACAACGGCCAGGGGGGTCCACTGACAACGGCCAGGGGGGGTCACTGACAATGGCCAGGGGGCCCACTGACAACGGCCAGGGGGTGGACTGACAACGCCGTCGGGCGGGCCTAGGGTGGTGGTGGTGAGCAGGAGAAGGCCATGGAGGAGGAGGAGGAGGAGGAGGAGGAGGAGGAGGAGGAAAAGGAGGGGGGACGATGGGGAGTCAGAGGAGGGCCGTTTGAGGAGGCCTCCCAAACGGGGTCCGAGTAGATGGGGTCGGAGGATCGCGCCGTATCACCGATGCATCATCACCGATGCATCACCGATGCATCGGCGATGCGACGCATCGGCGACACATCGGCGATGCATCGGCGCCATCGGCTCGGCGACGTGGGCGTGGACCTGGAAGAACTCGGGCTCCGCATCGAGCCGCATCGCCGATGCATCGGCGATGCGGAGCGAGCCTCCGACCCCATCTACTCGGACCCCGTCTAGGAGTGGCCTTCGGGGGCCCCCCGCGCGCCGCAGCCTTTGGGCTTGCAGGGCGGCGGCGGGGGCTATGGAGGGCGAGGACGTCCTCGACGACCTCTTCGACGAGGATCCCTCCCCCCGCTTCCAAGAGGGATTTAGCAGCCAGGCCCTGGGGCCCCTGGCCCGCGGGCCGGGGGGTCCAGGGGTCTGGCTACTAAATGGGCCTCTTGGGCCTCTTCTCCGAGGACGACGGCGCCGCGCCGCCGCCCGGCGAGGCTGCCGCCCCGGCGCCGGCGCCGGCGCCGGCGCCGGCGGCAGCAGCGCCGGCGGCTGGGTCGCTGGCGAGGCCCGTCCGGCACGCGCTGCGCCGTGCCCGGCGCACCACGGCGCAGCAGGCGGATGCGGCTCGCGGCCTGCGCCGGGAGAATGCGAGGCCACGGGGCCAAACGGAGGATGGCGGTGGGAGGGGGGAGGAGGAGGACGTCGGGTTTCGTGGAGGCGGGGGGGGAAGGGGGAGGGCGAGGGGGAAGGACGGGCGCGCCGAACCTCCCCAGGCTTCGGCGGGCCCTGTCCGACGTCAACACCACGCAGGCAGGCGTCCTGGCACAGGCCGCCAGCTCCATCAACGCCCGCGGGGCACCGCGGGCTGGCGTGGAGGTCGGCCGCCGGAGGAGAAGAGGAGGAAGAGGAGGAGGAGGAGGAGGAGGAGAAGGAGGAGGAGAAGAGAGAAAAAGGAAGAAGGGAAGGAGGAGGAGGAGGAGGAGCAGGAGGAGGGGGAGGAGGAGGAGGAGGAGGGGGAGGAGGAGGAGGAGGAGGAGGGGGAGGAGGAGCCAAGGTGATGCGTGGTCCTGAGGCCCATCCCCAAGAGCCCCCCAGTCAAAAGAGGGGGAGGAGTTGGAGGAGGATGAGGAAGGGGAGGAAGGGGAGGAGGGGGGGAGGAGGGGAGCCCGAGGTCATCGTTCATCGCCCTGGCAGGGCCAGGGCCAAGGCGGCCAGCGCGCACCACGCGAAGGCTGGTCAATCTCCCCTCTCCCCCCAAGATCGCGCCGCATCGCCGATGCATAGGCGATGCGACTCGATGCGGGGCCCGAATTTCTCTCCGCGCTGACGTCTCCAGCGCGTCCTCGATGTTGTCGCCGATGCATCGCCGATGTCTCTTCGATGCATCGCCGTTGCGGCGCGATCGTTTGACCCCATCTAGCCGGGCCCCATCGGAGGCCTCCATGCTCTTCCTCCCCCCTTCATTTCCCCGCTCTCCCACCTCGCTCTTCCATATTCGATCCCTCGCCCCCCACCCCCCCTCTCCGCCTTCCCCCCCCCTGTGCGGGCGGAGGCGTTTCCGAGGCTGCGGCTGCAGACCCTGGGGGATTCCTTATCTGATGAGGGCGGCAGGCTTCGATTGGAGTTCCACCGGCCTCCAGACGCTGGCGCCCTTATACATGGGAGGGGGCCGAGGGCCCCGAAGGGCCCCGCGACTTTTCGCCGGTCGACTTGCGGGGGTCGGGCCAGATAAATCCAGGTTAGATCCAGGTAAACGGTAAATCGTGACCCGCCCTTTCGCCCCCCCCCCCCCCGTCCCGTCGCGCTCGCAGGCTAGCAAGCTATCGCTGCGCCTCGGGGTGCGCGAGGCCAAGGTCAGGGGCAAAGGCAAGTACCAGAGCATCGGGCCCAAGTGCAGGATCCAGGTCGCGTTCGACGAGGACTTTCTCTCCCCCGCCCCCCCCTCCCTCCCTCGCTGCCGCCGTCGGTGATGATGGTGATGATGATGATGACGATGGTGATGATGATGATGATGATGATGATGACGATGATGATGATGATGGTGATGATGATGATGATGATGATGATAGAGGAAAGAGAGCTATGCACATACACCCGTTCTGGCCAGGCCCATCCTGAGCCCAGGATCGGCGCATGCGCCCTCGCGGCTTGGCCAGGGAGGCACATGCGTCGATTACCTGGCTGGGCCCTAGGATGGGCCTGGCCAGGGATCGGTGCATGTGCATGGGCTGCATAGGTCTGCTCGCCTGAGATGGACGGGCGGGCGCGGCACCGTCCGTAACCAGTTTGGTTCGGTCAGCCCTGGCCCTTCGGCGCTCGCGCCATGCATGCCGCGCCCGCGTCGCCCGCGTCGCTCGCCGACGCCGCCGCGTCGCTCGCCGACGCCGCCCCCTCGCCCCAGCCGCTCGCCGACGCCGCCCCCTCGCTCGCCGACGCCGCCCCCTCGCTCCAGCCGCTCGCCGACGCCGCCCCCTCGCTCGCCGACGCCGCCCCCGGGCCCCTGCACGGCGCCCCGTCGCACGCCGACGCCGCCCCCCTGCAGGGCCACCCTGCCCCAGCCGAGCCCGCTGCGCGGCCCGGGGCGGGTTCGAGGCCAGGGGCGGCCGCAGCCAGGCGCTCGCCGCGACGCGGGCCGCAGCGGCGCGGGCGGGGCGGGCGGCGCGGCGCGAGGAGCCGCGGCGCTGCAGCGCGAGCCGCGGCGCGAGGGCGGCGCTCCGGGCCGCCCAGATGGGGTCGGAGCACATGGGGTCGGAAGGTCGCGCCGCGTCGTCGATGCTGCATCGGCGATGAGGCTCGATGTGTAGCCCGATTTTCTCCAGGATGGCGTCGCCGATGCATCGCGCCGACGTCGCTGATGCATCGCCGCCGATGCATCGGCGATGCATCGCCCTTATATTGGCGACGCGGCGCGATCCTCCGACCCCATCTCCCATCTCCCATCTAGGAAGCCTCTAGGCGCGGCGCGGGCGGCGAGCCGCGAGGGCGGCGCGAGGGCGGCGCAGCGCGGAGCCGCGGCGCGGGCGGCGAGCCGCAAGGAGCCGCGGCGCCAGAAGCGGCGGGGCAGGCGGGCGGGTCGCAAGCGCCGCAGACGGGGGCCGCGAGGATCCTCGGCGCGGGCGGCGAGCCGCAAGGAGCCGCGGCGCCAGAAGCGGGGCGGGCGGATGGGCAGCCGCAGCCAGGAGATGCGAGGAGCCGCGGCGCGGGCGGCGAGCCGCGAGGAGCCGCGGCGCGATGAGAAGCGGGGCAGGCGGGTGAGCCGCACCCGCAGCCAGGAGCTGCGAGGAGCCGCGGCGCGGGCGGCGAGCCGCGAGGAGCCGCGGCGCGAGGGGCGGGGCAG